TTTATAGCAGGGGTCCCCAAACTACGGCCTGCGGGCCACTTCCAGCCTGCCAAGGGCACTTATCCGGCCCGCGGAGAAGCGCCCCCTCCCACACAGTGCCCCTCCCTTGGCTGGCTCACACTATCCGTCAGGCCCGATGGGCAGTATGAGACAGCCAAGGGCAGCTGCTCCGCGTGGCCTACTCGCACGTAAAGCACCGCGTGGGGCTGCTTCTCCCTTGGCAGGCTCATGCTGCCCATCGAGCCCGATGGGCAGTGTGAGCCAGCCAAGGGAGGCTGCCCCGGCGCTCCATGCAGTCATGCTGGCCACATGACCTTGGAGGTGTCTACGGACAACGCCGGCTCTTCGACTTAGAAATGCAGATAAGTACCACATCCCAGTCAGACACTACTGGACTTCATGTCAGAGGAAAACCTTTAACTAGGAAAATTGTGGAAGATCCAGGGTGGGAGAAAGAACTCTTGGCTGTTGGAGGTAGGTATGAATGTTTCAATTGGCCACCTTGATTACCATTTCATAGCCTGACAGTTTTTAAGGAGAATCCTTTGTTGAGAGGTGATTAGCTGGCCCTGATTGTTTCTTGTCTGGAGTTCCCGTGTTTGAGTGTTGTTCTTTATTTACAGTTTTTTTTAGAGTTTTTTTTAATACTGGTAGCCAGATTTTGTTCAGACTAGGAATAGGAAGATTTCCCATTCTCTGCTCCTAGAATTACTGCCTAAAGAGGGCTAGAAAGAACCCCCTCTAAGGGCCCTTCCACACAGCAAAATAAGATATGTGCAATGTGCATAGGAATTTTTTATTGATTTTTTTAAAAAAAAAAACTATAGTCCTGCCCTCCAACGGTCCGAGGGACAGTGAACTGGCCCCCGGTTTAAAAAGTTTGAGGACCCCTGCTTTATTGTCTTCTTCCCACCCACTGGGGTTTTTTTTACAAGATGGAGAAAGGTGGAGAAAGACCTGGAATAAGCCCAGCACATGGCCTCAACATTGAGGCCAGGCGCTTCTCTGTACAAGGCAAGGGTTCTGACTTGTTAAGAACTAGAGGAACTGAAAGCCAGAACGGAACAGGTCCTCTAATTTAATTGGGCAGTGAATGAAAGGAAAAGCAGCATCCAGGAACTCTGTACGCTTTTTTATTCTGAAAGAAAAGGAAACTGGGAAAGTCCAAAGCCTCTGACGATTGGGATGAGCCTTCCAAACAGAGCTGTGTGCATTTCAGCAAAGCCAGCCTCCTCCATAGCATCTTCCATAGTCCTCCATTGCCACCCTTACCTGTGTCCCTAACACAGTCTAATGACGGCATTCCCCTTTGAAATGGGGAAGGGGTGTCAGAGGAAAAGTAACTGCAGTCAAAACGCATGGGCAAAAGATATGAATAAAATATTTTATATTGTTGTGTCGCTTATTATATTAATTTTGCATTTTATGTATTTTATTTTCTGGTTTTGTTATGCTTTCGTGTTATATTGTGTGTACTGTACTGATGGGCATGGCCTCATGTACGCCACACCGAGTCCCCCTGGGGGAGATGGACCGGGGTATAACTAAATTATTATTATTATTATTATTATTATTATTATTATGGCACCTACAGGTATTTTGGTGGGTGGTTTGCATCAGCAACGGGAGCTCACCGGATTCGAACCTGCCATAAATAAATAATACAATACCAGAATCAATACAAAATAATAAGAATTGTTCAAAAGTATGATCTGGGCAGGACAAGATATAATTGTATGTGGGTGGAAAGATGAAAAAAATGGACAATGGAAAATTGGAATCGTTATATATATGATCAGGTCCAATTTCAAATTATAACAAGTGTAATAAGGATGATACGCAAGAAGATAAAATAGAGGAAATAAGGAACATCAATTTTGATGGCTTATATGGAATGGGTTAAAAAAGGGGAATCCAACACAAGAATCTTACAGACATTAAGAAAACTGTGCATGGTTAAAGATGGAGCCCCCGGAAGTGCAATGGGTTAAATCCTTGTGCCGGCAGGACTGAAGACCGACAAGTTGCAGCTCCCCATGCAGGGACATGACAGGAGCCACCCACGAGGATGGTAAAACACCAAAACATCCAGGTGTCCCCTGGGCAATGTCCTTGCAGACAGCCAATTCTCTCACACCAGAAGCAACTTGCAGCTTCTCAAGCCGCTCCTGACACAGAAAACAAAGGGTAAAGATAATAGTACAGAATAAATATGTGGTCAGAGGGAGGAATTAGTAACATGGGTGGCTTTTATATTTTAAATAATTAGTTTAATGTTTTTAAATATATATATACAAGTGACTTATTTTAACTGCCTGTTGAATGAAAGAAGAATGTGTCACACAACACATGTATTAAGGCTGCAATCCATTGATATTTTGTAGAACTGTACAAAATAAAAAATGGGAAAATACTGTTTATTGGTACTAATGCTGCCAGAAAACCGAGCCTCCCAGCTGCATCCTTCAAATTTTTAAAAAGGACAGAAGGTACCAGCGCAAGGAAAGCTCAAGTCTATGAAAAACCCAGGCATATAGAGGCCAGGTTCCCATATTAAAAGGTTGCCGATGACATCTGCTGTTACTGGGAAATTGAAGCAGAGAAATGAGAACAGAGAAGACAGAAGGTCCTAGCGTGTCAGCCAGCTAACTAACAGCAGAACACTGCGGCTTCTGGTGTTGATATTCGGCTCAGCAATTCACAAAGGAGCAAGTTTGATAGTCCCAAGTCAATCATAACTGGAGAAGTTGCACCAAAGAATCCCTGAGTCTGCAAAAGAGGCTCCTGTCTTCTAAATCCATGGTGCTGGCCTAAGAAATTTCAGCCTGAACTCCCATCATGTGATTTTAATGTTTACACTAAGATTTAATTCTATATTTTAATGTCCAAATGTTTGTTTATGCCTCGTGTTTTAATATGGTTAACAGTTTTTAATTCATAGTGATATGTTACTGTTTAGATATTATGGTTTGGTTTTCACATGTATATTTGGCATTGAATTTTGCCATTATTATGTTGGAAATGGTTTGAGTCTCTTCAGGGGTAAGAAAAGCAGTATAGAAATGAAATGAAATGAATTATTATTAATAATAATAATAATAATAATAATAATACCATCTGCCTGCAACAAAGAACTGGTGGGGATCACAAGCCTGAAAACGTTACAGAAAATTAAAATGTCGAACTACTCTGGGACTTCTGAATTCAGACTGACAGCGTTTTGGAGCACAATACTCCTGACCTCACAATCGTGGTTAAAAAAACAAGTATGGATCGTCGATGTTGCAATCCCAGGCAATAACAGGATTGAAGAGAAACAACTGGAAAAGCTAACACAATATGAGGGTTTAAAGATCGAACTGCAAAGACTCTGGAACACGCCAGTCAAGGTGGTCCCAGTGGTGATCGGCACACTGGGTGCAGTGCCTAAAGACCTTGACCTGCACTTAAAAACAATCGGTGCTGACAAAATCACCATCTGTCAGCTGCAAAAGGCCACCCTACTTGGATATGCATGCATTATTCCCAATATATCACTCAGTCCTAGGTACTTGGGAAGTGTCTGACATGTGATCAAATACAAAGGCCAGCAGAGGGATCTTGTTTGCTGTGAATTAAACTTGTTGTGTATCAAATAATAATAATAATAATAATAATAATAATAATAATAATAATCAAACTGCATCCAGCGTGGTAAGGTGTTCTAAAGGGCCACATTCCCCGGCTTCTGCCCAGAGAATTGGTTATACTGACCTCACAACAAACAAGACATTCCAAACAACCAATGCTAAAAACAAAAATATTTAGGTCAGGATGAGTACAACCCAAAGTGTGTATGATTTCTAAAAACCTGCAGTTGGGCTACTATGCATCATGCCCATCACATGCATGCCTTTATTTCTCTGGTTGTATTTTCTGTGTTTGTTACTGGTAATTCCCTGGAAGAATTAGGATCAACCTTTTTCAGTAGCAAAAGGACTTTTACAGCCTTTCCCCAACCAAAATGAAAGAAAGTTTAGAGAGCAAAACCACGCCACACAAAAGTTAAGATCAAGGAGAAAATTTCATCTCTCTTCTTATTCTTTTGTCTGAAGACCCAGCTGTGCACTGGGATAGAAAATATTTTTTGTTCCCAAATTGTCAACATCTAGCGCACCATGGATTAGGTACCTGTGGGGTTTCCAGCTCCAGGGAAGGGCGAGCATAAATCAAAAGTGGATTAGGACTCAGAGAGGGGTCTTTCTCCTTCCTGACCTATTTCTGTAAAAGTGTCATGAGGAATAACACCTTTCTTTTATAGATAGGCAAGTTGAGGCCAAAAGATACTGATTGCTTCATAAAGTAGTCCAGCAATTTCTCATCTAAGCAGCCATTTCAATGTTAAGGGAAACTCTGCAGGCCACCTTGAACTTGAAATTGTGAAGAAGGTCCAGCATGCAGGCCTTCCTTGGCTACTCCCCACTACATCTTCTTTGAGCCCATACATCTTGCATTGAAACATGCAACTGTTTCAAAACAAGGCAAATAAAAAATCCATCCCAAAAGTGTAGTTTGCAAAGCTGTACACTCTATCCCCTTCTACCATACACAATCAACACCTTCCATAGAACAGCCAGGAGGACCTAGCAAATTCCTAGAGGGACCCCCCCCCCCCATCTCATCTCAAATGTAGTTAAGTAAAACCACAGATATGAGTTCTGCAGCTACAGGGGATCCTTCTAACACTTTGGTATTACTGAGAACTACTGTATAGTCTAATACGGACATCCTCACCTTGTGGCCCTCCAGCTGTTTGGGCCTCTAACTCCCAAAAACTCCCACTGCCAGCTTGTTCAATTGCCAGGAAGTCTGGGAGTTGGAGGCCCAAACAGCTGGAGGGTGCTTATTCTAACACATCTGCATGATCACAAGGGAGGAAGCAGCTTTACCCAATAAGCCATGGAAATCCCGTGGGCCAATCTTTGTAGGCATGGGCTGCCACTCCCCTTCCTCATACTTACTTTTTAACATTGGCTTCACCATTGGGGATCCGGCGCAGTTTCTTCTTCTTCAGGATCTTGACCGCTCTCCTGCAGAGGGTTTCGGAGTCCAGCATCTCCTTGACTTTGCCATAAGACCCTTCCCCCAGCAAATCCCCCATTAGGTATTTGCCGATGAGCTTAGCTCTCTTCCGCCGGGGCTGGTAGATCACTTCCGTGGAGTCAATTCGATGAATAAACGTGTCCATGCCCACCGACATCAATTCGCTTTCGACAAACATACCTAACTGCTGGGGCTCCAGATCCATCTTGGACTTCTTTTTGAAAGAAAACCCTAAACTAGTCAAACAGATGTGCGTCAAAAAATTATAAATCCAGTTTCCTGGTGTATCCAAGTCTCTCCCTTTTATTCCCAACTTTTGAGTGGAGGGGTGGGGATGATAGGACACGAAGGAGACAGATTCAGCGAAGGAAAGTCAGTAAGAAGTTGTCCAGAAGATTGTACAAACAGCTTAATTTAAAAATGAAAAATACAACTCACAAGAGGCTCTGAGAATTCTTCTGATGGCCCAACAAGGTCCTGCAGAGATCCAGCAACTTATTCCAATACCACAGTGCCTCTTGTAAAGAACATGTGCATGTAAGATGGATAAAGGAAAGAAATATTAAGCTTTTTTCCCTCCTGTTCCGTTGAGTTAGCTTTAACTTTCAGATGTTGCTTTGTGCTGCAAATCTTCAGGCCAGTGTTTTCCCACCTTTCGAAGTCCTCCTTTGCTTGACACCTATGTCATCATTCAAATGCTGGCCACATTTAAAATCAAAGCAGCAAATTAGCTCCTATATGGGGATTCCATCGCCAGGAGGTAATGGTGGCTTCCGCTGTCAAAGTGAAGGACCGAAACCAACTACTTCTGCTGATTTCGCCACACAGGTATAGATGGCCTCCTGGGAAGGGCCCTCTCTCTCAGCCGTTGGGTAGCTGGAACCAAGTCTCTTTAAAGGAATTGTCAATGCTGATGTCAACAGGGTCAGCAACAAAGGTTTGAGGCCTTCCGTGCCTAGTAGTAAGTACTTCCAGGGGCATCCTTCAACAGCCTGGGGTCTGCCTGACACATGATGTGTCACCCCAGTGCTCCAGATGGCAAAGCTTTTAGGCAGGCAGGAAGGCAGGCAAGAAGTACTCACGTCTCCCAGTGTTAAGCTCCCACCGCAAAAGGGGAGAAGGCCAGAGCAAACTCAAGCTTAAGTGACTCAACCAATTCCCTCAGATTAAGACACTATACTTCTCCAGGGAAATAGCCTCTGAACCGTCTTCATCAACCCCAATGTTTTGTAGAAGGGGCTGGTTTGCAGTAAGGCCCACTTCACCTTTCCCTCCAATCTAAGCAAGAAAAGGTAAAGTAACACCAAAAATCAGAGACAAGAAGAACAGGGAGAACACTGGACTCTCTACCTGGACAGGTAAACTCAACAGTCAGGGAGCAAGAGGTAGGAAGAACACAAACGCGGATCCTGTCTTCTCATCTTTTCTCGCCTACCTTCAATTGCAAAAGAAGTGGTTGCACTTTGGAATTTCTTTGCAAGCAAAAAGCTCTGGCACCTGGGGAAGCTAAACAAAACAACAAATAAATATATAAAAGAGTGGGCCTTCCTTGAGATAGAATGACGACAGGAAGAGATTCCCACCCGACACGCCTCAACTCAACAACAGCCTCAACTCAATAACATCCGAGGGCACCGCTCAGGGAAGGAGTTTCTCTCAAACGACATTCTGCTATGGGAGGAACACAAGTAGCTGACTAAATCCCAAAGGAGGCCTGTGCCACTCAGCAGAAATTAGGGGAAGAACAGAACTGAACGGAGGGCAAACAACAGAGACACAGAAACACCAACAACTGTGGAAGGACCAACAACAATCTGTTTAGAAAAGGGAACAATTAATGAGGCCACTCCAAACACCATGGTGATTTCCAAGAGCAACTGGGAGTATTAAAGGGGTGCGGAAGAGGAAAGGAAACCTGTTCCTGAAAGGGGAAGCAGACAGCAACAAAGGTGAAGGGCACAGTCCTTTCCCTCCTGAATGTGGGAGAAAAGCAAGCCAAGGGAACAGGGCTTTGCTGTGCTATAGGAAACCAGAGTCGGGTTTGCATCCAACACAACTGAAGTAATTTTCCCTTAGGAAGGTGGGCCACTAGTTATGGCAACATAAACGCACCCACAGCCTCTATCAAGTTTTGTGAAGGGATATATATGTAGATACTATAAATAAGAAGCTTCTGGATGTGTGTATGTGTGTGTGTGTGTATATAGAGGCACACACTGTATCTAAGAAGCTTCGGGATCTATTCCTCTTCTGCCCCAAAGTGGTGTCCAATGAAAGGTCTCCTTTTATACCTTTGAGAAATAAGAACAAGACGACCCAAACTGCTCCCTGAAACCCTCTCTGGTGCCTCTAAGCAAGTGCCAAGCTGCAGACCTACAGGAAGCGGGGCTGGATGACAACAACCACTCACTCCTCGCCAAGGAAAGGAAGCCACACACAGAGAGGCCAAGGGGAGCCTCGCTCGAGGCTGAGGGGCCGGAGAGGCCTACTTTCTCCTCACCGCTCTCCTCAAAATCCACGCAAAGGTGGGTGGCAAGCAGGCCCTCCCGCGCTCTCCTTCCAATTAGGCAGATAAATACAACCCCGCCCTCTTGAGACCCCCTCCCCCCAGAAGGGCGCCCCTTTATTTCCCCCAAAAGCCACCTCGCCCTTGCCTTCCTGCCGCCGCAACTAGCACGCCGCCGCCATCTTGTTTACCCCTCTCGCCTCCCCTTTTCGCGCCTGCGCACTCGCCGAACCGGGGGAGGTGGAGCCCGGACAGAGCACGCGGGCGACGCCATTGGCTCAGCCGCGGAGCCCCGCCCCCTTTCTGGCTTCTCCCCTTCCCTCCCCTTCTGACTCGTCGGCCCCGCCTTTTCTTCCCCTCCGCGACTTTGGATTGGCTCTGTTGAGGGAAAAGGAAAGGTCGGGATTGGAAGCGGGGGACGGAGGGGAGGGGAAGGGGGTGGGGCCTCGCACATGTCGCGAGAGGTGGAGGAGTCGCCATGGCGACGCGTAGGAAAGGAGAGGCTTTGTGGCCTAGTCGTCGCGGAAGCCGCTCTCTTCCTTGTCAAAGCTCCAAGGACTCTTTGTTGAAGGCGTGCATGATCTGCTAGGCTGTACCCCCTTTCCCTCTATACCAGCCCTGGGCCAACTTGGGCCCTCCTTCCCTTTCGGTATTTTGGACTCCAACTCCCACAATTCCTAACAACCTCAGAACATTTCCTTTTCCCACTCAGCTGCTATTTATTTATTTATCCTATCAGAAGCGAACCAAGGGTACAGTTGTAATGTATTTAAAAAAACACAAAGTTTAAAAACTTGGCATTCTATTAAAGGCTCTCCAAGCTGGCCACTTGGAGAGCCTCTGGGAGGTTCTCCATTGTGCATGTGGCAAGGCTCAGGCTGCATTGCAATTGGTGGTTTGTGGTTTACTCTTCTCTGCACTCGCATGTCGAGCACTCCATTTTGTGGCCCCATTTCTTAAAGTTGGCTCTGCATCTCATGGTGCCAGTCGACCAGTTATTTCTGTGCCCAGGAGGGAGTCTCTCATTTGGTACCAGCCATTGATTGAGGTTCTGGGTTTTAGCCTGCCACTTTTGGGCTCTCTCTTGCTGAGGTGTTCCAACGAGTGTCTCTGTAGATCTTAGAAAACTATTTTTTTTATTTAAGTTGTTGGCGTGCTGGCTGATATCCGAACAGGGGATGGGCCGGTGATGTCACATAATCCTCAGAGCTTCAGATGAAGCGAAGCAAAGACAAAGAGGAGGAGGAGGAGAATATTGAATATTTTAACAGTAATTCCATCTCTCAAGCTGGACAGTAGAGGGTCCGGCTGGATGAGCTTTAGGCTCTCCTCCAACTATCAACATCATCATCATATTTAATTACTTTAATTACTTATTGGAGCCCCCGGTGGCACAGTGGGTTAAAGCAGGTTCGAATCCAGGGAGAGGCGGATGAGCTCCCTCTAACAGCTCCAGCTCCTCATGCGGGGACATGAGAGAAGCCTCCCACAAGGATGATAAAACATCAAATCATCCGGGTGTCCCCTGGGCAACGTCTTTGCAGACGGCCAATTCTCTCACAACAGGAGCGGTCGCTCCTGACACGACAAAAAAAAATATTACTTATTAATCGCCCTCCATCCGATAATGCTCTAGGCAATTTACAGCTAAATTGTAAAAGATAAAATACATACATACAGAATTTAAAAATTAACAGAGATCGACTGCTCTAGTAAAAAGCCAGGTCTTAAGTGCTAGAGTAAAAGGCCCTAAGTCACGCATGGTTCTCATATAGGGCGGCAAGGAATTCCACAAGGCAGGGGCAGAAATAGAAAAAGCCCTGCGTCTGGTACTTTCCAAGTGCATTTCTCTAGGACCCGGTATATAGAGTAAGTCGCATTGGGCTGGTCGTTGCGACCTCCGATGATGGGAGAAGTCAAGGCGGTCCCTAAGATATGATGGACACTAGCCGTAAAGAATTTTAAAGGTCAGAACTAACATCTTATACAGGTCACGGAACTCAGTTGGAAGCCAATGTAAATGTTGCAGCACAGGTGTTATATGGCATTTCATGGGCGTTCTTGTGAGTAACCTGGCTGCCGCATTCTGAACAATACGGAGCTTTCGGGTCGTAGACATCGGAAGGCCAATATACAAGGCATTGCAATAGTCGAGCCTAGACGTGACCGTGGCATGGATGACAGTTGCCAGAGCCTCATCAGATAGGTAGGGGGGCAGTTGCCTCACTTGTCGTAGATGGAAAAAGGCCTGTTTGCTGGCAGCAGTGACCTGAACTTCCATTGCCAGCTGCAAATCCAGGATGACACCTAAGCTCTTAACAGTGGTCGATGGAGATAGGGCGGCACCATCGAAGGTGGGTAACAGATGAGTCAGACCTGCCGGGCGGCCATGCCAGAGAATCTCAGTCTTTGCTGGGTTCACCTTCAGTCTGCTAGCACGTAGCCAATTTGACAGAGCTTCCAGACATAGGGTGAAATTGTCTGGAATTGACGTTGCCCCAGGCTCCAGGCGAGGAAGGAGTTGAAGAGGAGACAATATGGATAATATTAGAATACTATTTCCCTCAACCTAGCCTTGGACAGAAGGGGGTCTGACTGGATAGCCCTTGGCTTCTTGGCTCCCCTCCTTCCTCTGCTGCCCCCAGGGGTCTCTGTGGGAGAAGGCACAGCGGGAACTCCAGAGGGATGCTTCCAAAGGGCAGCCTTCACAGTGCTCTTGCTGCGGGCCCAGTCCTGTGAGAGAAGCCCCTCCAGACCGGGAAGAGCGCAAGATGAAGGGGAGGGGACTTGCTTCCAACTTCCACAGAATAGCTCTCTTTTCCCCATTCTGCACATATACACAAATCAGTGCAATATTTCCTAACATCTATACAGGGATTGTAACTGACTATGCCATTCCCCTCCAGCAAAGGATCATTACCTTATTGCGGTGCTGGGACTTGAGCACCTCAATGAGGCCATGAATTAAACCGTGACAGGATACTCAAGACAGGAAGGTCATGGCAGAGAGGTCAGACTAAATGCAATCCCTGGGGAAGGTAATAGCAACCCACCCCAGTATTCTTGCCATGAAAACTCAATGGAGCGATACAACCAGAGAAATGTTGGTATTTCATCGGAAGATGGGACTCTCAAGTCAGAACATGGTCAAAATGCTACTCGGGAGGAGCAGAGGATAAGTTCAACTAGCTCAGATGGAATAATTCAGCTAGCTCAAAGCCAAAAGGAAGGCTAGCGGCCAATAGTGCTGCAGGTGAACAACGAATCCGATGCTCTTAAGATCAACACACCATAGGAACCTGGAATGCAAGATCTATGAGCCAGGGCAAACTGGATGTTGTTATTGGTAAGATGTCAAAACTAAAGATAGACATTCTGGGGGTCAGCAAACTGAAATGGACTGGAATGAGCCACCTCACATCAGATGTCCACCAGATCTACTGCAGACAAGAGGAACACCGAAGAAATGGAGTAGCAATCATAACTAATAATTAAATCGCTAAAGCGGTGCTCAGATACAATCCAAAAAATGACAGAGTGATCTCAATTTGAGTTCAATGTAAGCCATTCAACATCACAGTTACCCAGATAAACATCCCAACCACTGCTGCTGAAGAAGCAGAAGTAGAGCAGTTCTATAAGGATCTGCAGCACCTGCTGGATAATACACCAAAAAGAGAAATTATTTTCATTACAGGAGACTAGAATGCAAACGTGGGTAGTCACATGATAACTAGGATCACAGGCAAGCATGGTCTGGGTCAAGAAAATTAAGTGGGACGTAGGCTGATAGAATTTTGCCAGGAACGAACACTCGCTTCCAACAACCTAAATTACAGCTTTATACATGGACTTCACAGACGGTCAACACTGAAATCAGATTGACTACATCCTTTGCGGTCAAAGGTGGCAGACATCCATCCAGTTGGTGAAAACAAGACCTGGAACTGACTGTAGTTCAGATCACGAACTTTTTATTGCACAATCTAAGAGTCACACTAAAGAGATTAGAGAAAACACATAAACCAGTTAGGTATGATCTCACTAACATTCCTGGTGAATACGCAGTGGAGGTGAAGAATAGACTTAAGGGACTAGATTTAATAAGTAGAGTGCCAGAAGAACTATGGACAGAAGTCTGGAGGTGGCAACAAAGTATGTCCCAAAGAAAAAGAAAACCAAGAAGTCTGCGGAGACACTTGAAGTAGCCCAAGAAATAAGGAAAGCAAAAGGAGGAGATATGCCCAATTGAATGCACAATTCCAGAGGTTAGTCAGAAGAGATAAGGAACTATTTTTAAACAAGCAATGCATGGAAGTGGAAGAAGACAATATCATAGGGAGGACAAGAGACCTCTTCCAAAAAATTACAAACATTGGAGGTAAATTTCAGGCAAAAATGGGCATGATTAAAAACAAAGATGCAAGGGCCTAACAGAAACTGAAGAGATCAAGAGAAGGTGGTGAGACTATACAGAAAATCTGTATAGGAAGGATAATAATATCGAGGATAGTTTTGATGGTGTGGTGAGTGAATTAGAACCAGACATCCTGAGGAGTGAGGTTGAATGGGCCTTAAGAAGCATAGCTAACAACAAGGCAGCAGGAGACGACGGGATCCCAGCTGAACTGTTTAAAATCTTGAAAGAGGATGCTGTCAAGGTGCTGCATGCTATATGCCAGCAAATATGGAAAACACAAGAATGGCCATCAGATTGGAAAAATTAACTTATATCCCCATACCAAAAAAAGGGAAATGCTAAAGACTGCTCAAGCTTTTGTACAGTGGCCCTTATTTCTCATGCCAGTAAGGTAATGCTCAAGATCCTGCAAGGAAGACTCCAGCAATACATGGAGAGAGAGTTGGGTTTAGAAAAGGCAGAGGAACAAGAGACCAAATTGCCAATATTCACTAGATAATGGTAAAAGACAGGGAGTTTCAGAAAAACATCTGTTTCTGTTTTATTGACTATTCTAAAGCTTTTGACTGTGTGGATCATAATAAATTGTGGCAAGTTGTTGGTGGTATGGGGATACCAAGCCACCTTGCCTGTCTCCTGAGGAATCTGTTCAACAACCAAGTAGCAACAGTAAGAACTGACCATGGAACAACAGACTGGTCCAAGATTGGGAAAGGAGTACGGCAAGGCTGTGTACTCTCACCCAACCTATTTACCTTGTATGCAGAACACATCATGTGATATGCGGGGT